TAAAACATTTGAAATACAAGAAATAACATTTGAAATATATACAATTAATGTACAAATTTGAAAACTTTAAATATTATTTTGAATGGAAATCTCTTTATATATAATAATAATATTTTTTAAATTATTGTTTTAATTTCAATGTTAACGTTTTCAATAAATAATTATTTTTAATGAGAAAAAAAGTTTGTATTTGAAATGTGCTCACTACTGTAAATCTGGAAAGAAGAACGTCGGGGAATTTAAGGCTCTCATGCTCATTATCTGGCCGATGATTGATCGTCGAACGCAAAGTATCATCGATCAGAAGAGCCTGTCCTAAATGCCGGTTCCGATGACGCTTTATTGAAATAATTCCATCGTTTTCCTTCCCGCGTGCAACCTGCGGGACATTATAATAACAGCGTGTCGGCTCGATTGCTGTAATTTGGGCCATGAATTTCGTTAGTAACGGTCACGTTAGCATGCCATCCTATTTACTCTTTTAAAGAGCATAGAAATTCTATAAAACATAATGAGACAAGGGACCTTGGGAAAATGGTCAAAAAGAGGAAGAGCATTAGGTGGGAGAGTGGGAGGAGCGGAGATCGAGTCGAGACAAATAAAATAAATAAATAATGCACACGGCAAAAGAAGAACGGACGCTGGAAATAGACAAATGTATAGTATCAGGATACCTATGGCACTTTTGAATAATCATCAATTATTATTTTATCAATGGCACATGCTCGGGATCGTGTAATAGATCAACGAGGACTGATCCATCGCTTCCAGATATCGCGAACATGTCTCGTGTAACCGAAATCCGGATCGTTCCTCGGAGGACCTTCCGAGGGAAAGGTCCTTCTCTATCGAAGATAATACGCGACGAAGGTGCATCGCGAAGATTATAGAAGACGAGTACTCTTGTTGACATGCGTGCGAAACCGGTTTATTTCGCATTCGCGACGTGTTCGTTCGAATCTCCGTCGACAATGTTTCGCGATAACGAAGCGATTCTTCGGCAACGCGGACTGTCGGACGACTTACAAGTAAGGGCTGAGATCAAAAAGAGGGATCGCTCTCGCGGATCGGTAAAGGCACGGCGGTGTCTTATATATTTGCAAGGTGCGCGGGAGAGAGAGGTCGACCTGGCCGCAGGGCGGATCCGCCGCGCCGACCGCCGAACGCTCGTAAAGCGCTAAATCGAATGGCCGGAGGGAATCGTAAAGCCTCGCGGCCCCGCGCGGTGGTGTGTGTGGTAGCGAGAGATTAAATTTAACTTTTTACGATGAGAACCGCGGGAGACCTGAAAGAGCGAAAACCACGAGCCGCGTGTATCGAGACCATTTTTGAACATCGGCGCGAACGAGATATCGCATACATAGTGGCGTATTTCAAATGTAAAGTATTGTAAATCATTATTTAAATCATGTTTCGTGTATAAACGCGATATTATTTCGAAACGTATATTTCTTTTTCCGTAAGAATGATGGACTTATTGTAAAAGTATAACCGTCATTTATCTTTAATCCTAATTTAAAAAAAAAAAACATATACTATTATTTAATAGCTTATTTTTTATACATAAGCATAACAAAGACAAAAGCTTTAAGAGAGAAATATATAAATAGAATGATTACAAATTTTCAAACATTTTATTGCTAATATTATAATAAGAAATAATTATTTTAATTAATTAAGAGAAATAGCCTATATAAATATAATTTCTATTTTATTTCAAATATTATTTTGTTTATCTTTGTTTGTAGATCCTAAAAAAATCGATGGCGCATAAAAGAGTCGATAAAAATCTACTTTTAAAGGCGTAATTTATACTAAAGAAATGAGATTGATCGTCGCTTTATTTAATTTTGACAATTACGCTTGGGAGATAACTGTGTCTCTTAATTATCGGAGGACGGTTTCCGATAACAAATGCTTTTTTTGTTTCCACAAAGTCTCGGGATCATGGAGAATCCTCAAGGATCCTTAAAAATTCTACACTCAAAAAAGTGGTTTTGCAACTACAGCAAAAATTTTCTGGGTGCGCAAAATTAGCCGCCGGTGGCGTCGTCCAAATGATCGTCGCGTAACCGAAACGGAGCGTGCGTTGCGTTCGCCACTCGCGTGTGTGCGTAGTCCGTGTGTATGTACGTTAACATCGCGTGTGACCGATGACTTTGCGTCGTGAATCTAGTCCCGAGTGTCCGTCGTCGCCGAGAGACGTACGCGAGCCCGAAGAGGAGTCGTTTGCCGTCCAGTGTCCATGTAAAATCATTCGCTAGAACTGCCAACCCTCTCCCCCGCTCCTCCGTTATATAGTTGGTTAGTTTCGTTCGTGTGTCGTTTCATTAGTGTTGTGGCTCTCCCTCGTTTCTCTCTCTCTCTCTCTCTCTCTTCTCTCTTTTAATATCTCTTTTCTCTCAAAAAATCACGCACCGTGCGTGTTTGCTCTATTTTCTCTCTTATACTCTCTCCTTTCCTCTCTAAAGAAAGTATTCGGATGCGCATTTCGTTGGTTATGTTTCCCGTTACATCTCGCACGTAGTCCCGTATAAGCGCGTGCTTTCTTTATGCACGTGTGTATGTATGCGTTTGCACGCATCTGGCTGCGAAAGAGATAGAGAAAGGTCGAAAGAAAGAGAGAGAAGCGAAGAGAGAAGACTGTACTTTAAATGACATAGTAGTGCGTGTACGTATAAAGTAAAATGCATAAGTTAAGACTACCTGTCAAGGTCGAATTGCCCAGTGCTTTAACAAGGTATGGCGAGACCTAATTTACGCAGATACCATTATTATTTCTCTTATTGACATCGCTACGTAATGTAATACGTCGAGTCTCTTTCATGTACGTTTAAGTTTTGGATACATAATTCTAGATGCAGTCGCGTATGCTAAAACTCTTATCTTTTATCTCTTAATTTACATATATACATCGCCGTTTTCTTGAATCGTATATATACACGGAGAGATTGTTCACTCAAAAAAGTGGTATTGCAACTACAGCCAAAATTTTCTGGGTGCGCAAAATTAACTGAGGTACATAAATGATTAGCAAATACTGTGATATCGCATATGTTTCGCATTTAATCAATCTAAGTGACAGAGACAGAATTTATATCTGAACTGTTTGTGAAATTTAGAAAGAATGTTTTTCTGTGGCGCCTATCCATGTTAAGGCCAATCATACTTGTTATAAAGTTTGGCTGTGGTATACAGAAAAAATTAGCGGCAAGAAACAAATGAATATATAATCCTCACGTCTAACATATTTGTATAACGCGCTCAATCTATCTAGCTCTTTTAAACAATTTCTCTCAATTTTTCGATGCTGCAGTTATAATTGGCAGTTATATTTCTCACAAAGATCGTTCTGTAGTATCGAAACTCATATTTATCCAATGCAGTGATTACCATTTGGCAATGGGACCTAAATTTTCTAGAAGATATTATTAGAATGTTGCTGCTATAAATTCTATATGTAACAGACAATATTCTAACAGATACAAAAAATAGCGATAAATTTTTGTTGTGACACCTAGAAATCTCCCTATATCAGCAAGACATTTTTTTGAGTGATAGGTTCAATGTAATGTTGGAATTAATGTTTAAATTTTTTTTTTTTTTATGAAGGATGTAATGTTTAATTTATGAAGGATGTAATGTTTAAATTATAAAAGAACACTGCCCGTGCTCGATACGGATGGTATCTCTCACGTCAAACTCGGAAAGGGAAATATAGATAAACCGATAAGTCTTTTATTAACTGTATGACCGGACATAAATATTTATATCGCGATAACGAGCTACACGCGAAGATTTACTAGATCTTTGTAGTTTAAGGGCAAGGCTATATAGTGCTCTCGAAATAAATGTTTGAAATATATTACTCACTTGAATACAAAAAGCGAAATTAATTAATATGAAACGAGGTCAACTAGGTATAAAGATGTAATATATATAGTGTTGTCCCAAAAAGCAGACTAGATTATTCTGTCTATCTACATTGTATCGTTTGGCATGCTTCCTTGCACCTTGTAATACCGCAATAAAATCGAAATGGCCGAATCGCTGGAATTTAGAATTCTTGCTCAATTTCATTTACGATTCGGGAACACATCGCCACACACGTCCGAGAAACCGTCGTTCCACCACGTCGTTGTTCGCGGACTCTTAACGATGATTAATTCGACCGGAGGGTGAGCGTGACGTCACGCGCCCATTACACCACCGAAACACGCTGCTATATTTTGACACGCAGTACATATTTCAAGGTGGAAACACGGTAGCTTAAAACGCTACGATTTACTCGAAATGACGGACAGAAGAATCCTCCCCTCTCGGTATACTTTTATTTGCAGCGAGTTTGCGAAGCAGTTGCAGCTGCAACTCGCGCGCGGTCGTATTTCGGGATGGAAATAAGCTCGTAACCTTCGGATTCTCGCAGAGCGCGCGTAAATATCTAAGTAACCAAACGATTATGCGTCTCGGATAATCGCCAACGGCACGGAATCGGACGAGGCGATCTCGATTTGACACATTACGCGCTTCGATCGCGAGTAAATCCAGAAATCTTTCTTTTAGTAAGAATTTTACGTCTCTCTGAGCACGCCGTCCGTCTTTTCAATGTTCATCGTTAAATCGGCAATCAGTGTCGTGCAATAAAATCGTCAACGTGCTTAAGATAATAATTAAAAATTGTTTCTCTCTCTCTTTCTCCCTCGTGCGGTCGTAAAGACGCTTCCCGCCGTGACGGTGGTCGCTTTAAAAGGTTTGCGCCGCTATTCGTAACACGTTGCGATCGTACGTAATACGCGCGTCCCATCACCGGATGCGATCGGTCCCACTGCCGGAAGTGATGTGCCTTTCTATCGTTCGCGCGCGCGCGTGCCCGGCGTGCGTTATTTGGCAACGGTAGCGTGGCTAGAAGCAACTTTTGCTAATATCTTACCTTGCTTTATAATATCGCTCCTAAAAATGCGCGAATTTTGATATTAATTAAAAATATGTGTTTAAAAGATATTTAAAAAATAGTTTTTTTTTTTATGTTTTTTGCTGTAATAACTCCGTTAAATGTACCGCGAATGCAATGCAATTTCAAATATAATTTTGACATTCCATAATCGCGCGATTAAAACGCGGAATTGAAAGTCGACGAATATGCAATTTCGCATGCGAACGGGCGCGTATTTATTCCACCGAGAAATGACGTCGCACACACATACACACATCTAGAGAGAATGCCGTGTGATGCGTAAAAGCGAGAAAGCAACGAGGGAGCAATAAAGCGAGGGAAACATAGCGATGATAATAATTTTCTGAACGATCGTCGGGATGAAGAAATAATTATACGGAGAGATTTTTCTTTCAGAAAAAAAATTACGTCGTTAGAAGATTGATTTTACGCTATGTTGCTCATTAGTAATCATTAGGGATCGTCTGCGACTTATACCGTGAACTAATTACAGGTTGTCGAGCTGATTAACCGACATCGTCACGATCGCGCCTTTTATGCCGCGCGCGTCCACGGCCCTCGTCCGTCCGCTAATGTTGTCTAATGGCGGACGAGTAACAGTATTTTTGTTTTCCTACCAGCTCCTGGTGACAACCGCCGAAAGGAGGGAAACAGTTACGCGACCTATGGAGAGCTCAGCGGGATGCATCGCGCGAGTTATAATGATGGCGATGGGGAAGCCGCGGACGTGGCGTGCATCGAGCAAGAAGCGCGCAAGCATCGCCGGCTCGGTGAGTCGCATGCATCTTTATATATTGCATGACCGATTTCGCTTATGTTTGCTTAAAACCGGAATTATCCTCCAAACTATTTCGGTATTTTTTATAATTATGTAACAATCGATTCGCGATGACAGACTTTTCACATTCAAATCCAAAACATTATCGCCGCGCGAGCAATCGATTCTTAGTAAAGTAAAATCCGCTCTGGATACACCCGGTAGTGGTCAATGAAAAGTCGCCCGGATTACACGGGAGTGCCCACAATGGCTGCATTATAGTTATTGCCGTTAGTACGGACGCTGATGACAGCATTACCGTGATTGCCAGTTAACATAATGACCGTCGCTGACCAGCGTCTACCATCGACACGTACGTACCCGGGGCTTTCTGGACACGAGGTCGACGACCCTTGACCCCGTACAGGCTGGATACGAGCGTTTCCTGAAATGGAGAAACAATTGGCAATCGGCGCGTACCCGAACGCTGCTTGATCGCATTAGAGAGAATAGAATAATGTCAGCGCGGTTTCAATCCCGCGCGCTTCTCGCAGAGATACGCGCCAACGCTCTCAACGAGAGATATCGTTCGCAGGATTACGAGATTTTATTCGCCTATCGTATCGAAATATCACAAAGTGTCATGATATTTTACACGATTTTATTCCTTTAGCCTTTAAACGCGTATCTTTCAATGTTTGCAGTTTATATCGCGTGTTCTCTCACGATTATATATTCCGCTAGAAATACATATATTACACCGTGAGACATGAATTATATTCAGAGGAAACATTATTTAGCGGTAAATTGCAAGGATACGCGCTATTAATAATACTTATGATATAATCTACTGTGGCTAATCGATAAGGCTATATCGATAAAAGTGTAAAATTTGTAATCGTGTTCGCCTCGACGTCGCATCGATGATGCATAATTACACGTTTGCGTAATCTCGCGCGATTCATCTGGCACAATCTATGTCCCCGTGTAAAAATTATTCCTCAGCCTTTACCCCGCGCATCGGGGCTGCTGCAAAAGGAGGTTAGATGATGGGTATATCTCCCCATGACGTAATCGGCGTTAACGAGCGAAACGGTTTCGTGCCCGGCCACGAGATATTCGCGAGAGGGCAAATTGAACGATGAGGCCCGCGCGCACTCGAGATAAATAAATGCCGTTGGGGGGAGAGATGGAAGATGCGGGTATCGTGGAAATCGGTCGCAGAACTGCCGCACGAATAAATTTGTAGGAGTCTTTATGTATAATTCTTTTTTCTCCACCGCGCGTTCCCCTCGTCGCTCGACAATTCGACGAAAGAGGCACTCGTCGGAATCGGCCGCGAAATCGCGCGCTTAAAGTGGAAGTTTGAACGAGAGGCAAATTTCGACGCGATATTAAGAGGTGTGATCAATCAATTAATACCGATTAATATATAAAATTATTGATTGATACAAATTTAAGCGGGAATATATATTATTTGTCAAAGGTTTGCGAGCTGTTTACGTAGCAGCAACGACTTATCCCTTAGAACAAATTTGTCTGCCGGTGGTCTCGTGTTGTCGGTGTCGCGTTCGTCAGCCCGTGCTTTTTCTGGCCTGGCCGATTCTCGTTTACAGTCTCGCGTTTACATTCGCCCGTCGGCGGCATACACGTGGTCACTGTTTCGCGCGTGCCACAGTATAAACGCGCTGTCAATGCAAATAAGTCGAGCCCATCGTTTCTGGACGAAGGGCCGATCGAGTGGTCGACCTTCTTCCTTCCATTTGAACGGATCAATAACAGATTGAAGTACCTTGTGTTACAGCGTGCTGTGGAAGCAATATTCTTGGATTATAAAGTCTTCTTTGTCGTATTTTATATCGATGCAATTATTTAAATAAAAAATAAGTATCGATGATAATAATGAAAAAGTATTGTAATTGCAAAATTATAACTTTTTAAGAAAAATTTATTTGTATAAGGCTAATTTCTTCCCAAAAACGTTTGGTTTTATCAATTACACTAGCAACAAGGTATTAAATAAATTGCATTGATTAGATTTACGATATTTTTTATTATGGTTATTGATCAAATAATATAAGAAAATAATAATTAAAATGTGCTATTAAAACACATATTTTGATATATTATAGTGTACTTGTATACACTATACATCTCGAGGATAGCAAAATAATCATGTGACACGTTATAAATCTGCGATACGCTAACGATAATGACGCTCGCTACAAACTCTGCGACAAAATGCAGGCTTCTGCTTTTTGCAGTATTCGTGGCACGCTACTTTCTTAACGCGTCCCCAGTAAGAAATTCAACTTCCCCCCTTTTCTTTCAACCCTTCCTTTTTTTTTCTCACGCGAGAACGAAATACACCAGCGTGTAACGGAGCGCGCTCCAAAAATACCGTCGCGCCGGAATATGAAACCAGAAGTAACCAGTGGCAAGGGCCGGGCTCGGCATCTGGCACGGCCGACAAAATATAATAACATAGCACGCGTGCACATACACATGCACACATGCAAACGCTATGTACCAGCCCGCGCACGTATGTATGCACGCACGGATAAGCCGCTCCTGGATAATCTCGTGGACCGCACGTGCGATCTCCGTAACGTCAGTTTGATTCTCTTCGACAATTTGTTGACAATTTTTTTTTAAACTTGTATGACGTCCAAAAAGCTATTTAATTTTAACGGCAAATTATGGGGAACGTGATCGTGTTTTAGGGATTTAAATTCGCTTAAAATTACTTTCACTTACTTTTAGCATTTTAATTCGAATTTCATTACCGAGATATATTTATTCGTCATTGAAATTAAGATCGGATTTCGCGCTTAATTTACATACAAATGTTGGAAACGTAAACGAAACGATCTATTCTGGACGCGAACGAATCTGTGCGTTCCGCGAGCCGATTCGACGTGCTCGTCTGGCGTGTTCACACTTCCGGGGTGTTGCCGAAGGATATCGCCTTCCATCCCGGCACTTTTTTATCTTTCTCGTACACGCGACACCTACGGGAACGAGCTTCCGGACGAGAGAGAACGTGACCGCGTTTCCGCACCGAGTCCCGACTTCGAGAAGACCCGCCGAGGATCCGATGCGGATAAAGTGCGACGACGATATGATCCTAGCTGGAAATAGACGACGCGGATAAACGTGTTTCGATCGCGTTACTCGTTTTTGCTGATCCAGAATTACTAATGGAACGAGGGAGAAAAACTCCTTTCAGCGCTTTCCGATATCTAATTTATGATACACGAGGCACATTCCTCCGCGCTTGCACAATTTATTATCCCGCAAATGGTAGACATTATCCGCACTAGGTAGCAACTGCTACTAAACTTGCACGTAGGCCGCCGTCATTGAAAACAATAAAACACGACGTCGGACGATTTTCGCCCGACGAGAGAGCAGCGCAAAAGTGGCCGGCTCGTAAAATATCGTTTCCCCGACGGTATTTTACCGCTAATTGCTAGGAAATCCGCTTGCAAAAAGCTCGGCTCGTTCGAAGTTGCAAAACAACGAGACCAGAAAACGACGGTGATTCGCTCGCTCGCGCATTGTTGCGTCGGCTATTTGCATCGCGGAAATCGTCGGAGCTAGCTGTAAATCAATGTCCGAGACCTTTAACGTGAATTCCACGATATTAATGAGCAAGACGAAATACACGTGTGTTGGTAAATTCTTCTCTATGCGAACGATTTGCTCGAAGCCGTATAGCGACAGCCTTGCTCCGCTCGAGCGATCAAGCGATCACCGTAACAACGGATCAATCCGCTATCGATCACTCGTGGGTCCTCGGAGCTCGAAGCCGTATAGCGACAGCCTTGCTCCGCTCGAGCGATCAAGCGATCACCGTAACAACGGATCAACGATCAATCCGCTATCGATCACTCGTGGATCCTCGGGTAACCGTGATTGTCTAGTGGTTAGGACCTTATTGTCGCCGTAATAACCCAGATTCGAGAATCCTGGTCACGGTAATGTTCTGAACACTCAAAAAAATGTCTTGCTGATATAGGTAGATTTCTAGGTGTCACAACAAAAATTTATCGCTATTTTTTGTATCTGTTAGAATATTGTCTGTTACATATAGAATTTATAGCAGCAACATTCTAATAATATCTTCTAGAAAATTTAGGTCCCATTGCCAAATGTTAATCACTGCATTGGATAAATATGAGTTTCGATACTACAGCTAGAACGATCTTTGTGAGAAATATCATATAACTGCCAATTATAACTGCAGCATCGAAAAATTGAGAGAAATTGAGAGAAAGAGCTAGATAGATTGGGCGCGTTATACAAATATGTTAGATGTGAGGATTATATATTCATTTGTTTCTTGCCGCTAATCTTTTCTGTGTACCACAGCCAAACTTTATAACAAGTATGATTGGCCTTAACATGGATAGGCGCCACAGAAAAACATTCTTTCTAAATTTCACAAACAGTTCAGATATAAATTCTGTCTCTGTCACTTAGATTGATTAAATGCGAAACATATGCGATATCACAGTATTTGCTAATCATTTATGTACCTCTGTTAATTTTGCGCACCCAGAAAATTTTTGCTGTAGTTGCAAAACTACTTTTTTGAGTGAATGCATCTCGCGCGAGAGGATTTCTTTTTATTATTTTCTTTTTTATAAACAAAAACGGAGAATCTTTCAAAGAAAAGACTGTTCTTTAAATAGCTAATTTAAGCTTCCTAGAATCGGGAAAATAGTACGCTATGATTTATCATTTAAATATTTCGCAAATAATAGAGCGATGTTTATATACTCCAATATTTTCAAGCTGCAAGGCATTTATTTTCCGTATAATTGGATACGCATGTTAGCCATCGATCATCGTATGAAACAATTTCTCAATGTTTTAATTTGAAGGAAACAGAAACAGACACGTACATATATTATCGAAGTTCGAATAACGTGCATTATCATACATCTGCGTTCGATGCGCGATAAATCACACTACATCTGATAGTTGCCCTTCATCGAGCAATCTTTT